TTTACTTCTTCGTCGCCACCACCCCTACCCCCTACCCCTTCGCCACACACACACACACACACACACACACACACACCAGAGCCGGGAGTGGGCCTTTGGCTCCGGGGGATGCAGACAGGAGAAAGGGGGCCACGGCTGGGGCCACAGCTGGGGGCAGGGGCAGAGCCAGGAGTGTACCAGAAGTTGGGGGCCGAGGCCAGCAGCTGGGGCCAGGAGTGGAGCTGGGTACTGTTCTCTCCCCACCCTCCTGTGGGGGCAGGCCCATGCCCTCCCCTTCTCCCCCAAATGTTCCTCTGCATTCCCTAGGGGAGCGTGCCCCACAGTTTGGGGACCTCTAACCTAGCCTCTTACTGAGCAGGCCCCTCATTCTCCCCAGATGGCTTTGTAATAGGGTGGTCACTATCTGAGTCCCCCTTGTGCGGGGGTGAAAGTAAAAATAGGGACATACCGGTACGGGGCTGGGTTGGGGCCGGCTCTGGCCCCCAGAAGGGGCGGGACCTCGGGCGGAAGGGGCAGGGATGTGGGGGGGGTCAGAGCCAGCCCTGGCCCGCCCTGTACTGGTAAGTGTCCTCCCCCTCCCCGTCCCCCGCCGGGGTAGCAGCGGCAGCCGGGGGCTCCGGCAGCAGTTTAAAGGGCCCAGGGCTCGGGCTCCGCTACCACCCCGGGCCCTTTAAACCGCTGCCGGAGCCCCCAGCTGCCGCTGCTACCCCAGGGCTCCGGCAGCAGGGCTCCAGGGGTTATTTAAAGGGCCAGGGCTCCCACTGCCTCTACTGCCCTGGGCCCTTTAAATAACCCCCGGAGCCCCACCGCTACCCCAGGGCTCCAGCTGCAGGGCTCTGGCGGCGGAGCCCCAAGCCCTTTAAAATTGCCGCCTGGGGAAGCTGGGCCACCCCGGTACGGCACACTGGCTCTTGCCGGCACGCCGTACCAGGGTGTACCAGCTTACTTTCACCTCTGCCCTTGTGGCCACGGTTTGCTTTGCAGGCACCCTGGCCGTTCGCCTCCTCGTGTGGGCTCCTTAGCACTCCACAGTCTCTGTTGTAGCTCACAGCACCACTACCAGTGGCTTGTTTAATATCAAATAAGTTCATACAAACCTCAGAGGCCTTAGTCACTAAACAATCCAAAAAATCCTCCGTGGGTCCACAACAAAGTCCATAATTCTACTCCAACAGTTCAAACTTCGCTCCAGTTCTTCTGCCACACCCAGAGCTCTTCCTCTGTCAGTGCGCTCCACCTGAAGCCTCCAGTCGCAGACCTTTCTGACTGGAGCTCAGTTCTCCAGACCTGGCTTCCTTCAGGGTCTCTCTTGTGCTGAGGGAGAAGGCAGTCTATCAACTGCTTTCCTCCAGAGAGCTCCTGCTGATTGGCTGGAAGAGAGGGGAGCCCAGATCCACCACAGGGTTCCTAATTCTGGGCTCTTAAAAGAACTGACCTGGTGTTTTTTTCCCCATCCAGCTCCTAATTCTGTAGGATGGCTTCCTCTCTTCTGCTACCAGGCCATTTCCTGGGCCTTTGTTCAGTCCAACTCCCTGGAACAGTGTCTTCTGTTATGTTCTTATGTTCTGTCCCCTCTACGCTTACAGGGCCAGTACGCCCTGTTGAAGACTTTCATATTAATTATTCTCAGTGTACAAGTCAAAGAGATTCTTCCTACTGCAGCTGGTGTCAGAAAACCAAGGTGAGCTCTATCTGCCTCTGAAGCTGATTCCGCCCTCAGGACTTAGCTGATTGCTGTCTGCAATGCACAAGGCAAAATAGAAGTGGTCACAATCCCACAGTTGTATCGAATTGGCAGTGCTAGCAAAATTAAATAACTTGTTTTTGTCAAAGAAGCAAGCAGATTTGACTCAAAGACGTGGGGACTCTGTGTTAAATTACATTTTAGGTAGGTCCCTTTTTCACCATAATCACACTTACTGGAGGGCTTTCCCGTCTTGGCTCCAGATACCGTAACAACCGTTTGTAACCTAGGGACACCCCTTCCTAAGCATTGTTTTGGCTGGCAGTCTGAAAAAACCGCTAGCGAAAAATGAAAACTGCAGCTTACATTGTTACAATCTCTTCCTTTACAATAATGGTGAGAACATACCAATACCTTTTAAATTAAAATAACAAGAATAGCTTGAGACAGGAAACCCCCATCGAAACACAGGAGTTTGTGACAAGGAAGCAGTGCTCCACATTTGAATCAGTAAGAGAAACTGGGTCAAGTTCTATTAGAAAATGCTTCTTCTTAATCTAACATTGGTTTTGCTATGAATATGGTATATCATTTACTGCACGTTTTGTCAAGTAACTATTAGAACTTTCCTTTAAACCGTTGGGACAGTCTCCAGCTGTGCCTCATTTGCTCTCCCACTCAGCTGCTAATTAGTTTTTTCTTTATCACCAGCAGGGTCCTAGACTGTCCGCTTCCTCATGGGAGGGGATGTGCCGTTTATGGTATGTCTACACTGCAGCTGGGAGCATAGGCTCCGATTCCATGGGTGCTCTGGGGCTCAAGCACCCACTGACCAAAAAAAACAAAAAACAAAAATATAGGAGGTGCTCAGATGGATTAATCTTTTGTGGCCCCTGCGTGTCCAGACCATGGCCCCACCTCCTGCTCTGCCCGCGCTCCGCCCAGAGGACCTGCCTCTACTCAACCTCTTCCCCTGGAGGCTCCACCTGCCGCTCGCATGGGAAGTAGGGGGTGGAGAGGAACACCCACCAGCAAAAACAAGAGTCATCGCCTGGGTAGACAGAATGGTGCTAGCAGAGCTTGAGCTAGCATGATAAAAATAGCAGTGTTGATGTTGGAGGTCGAGTGGGGATTTGGGCTAACCATCCCACTTTAGACCTGGGGTGGCGGTGGGGGTCAGGTGGGCTTGACAGCCTGAGTTGCCCCCCAAGACACAATGTCCACACTGCTGTTTTTAGCATGCTAATGCAACAAGTGTCTACACCTGGGCTGGGAAGCTCGCTCCCAACTGCAGTGTAGACTTACCCCTAAGGGTATGTCTGCACTACAGTCTGAAGTGTGACTGCAGCATGAGACCCAAGCTAGCTTTACCTGCACTAACACAGCTAAAAATAGCAGTGTAGCTGCAGCGCTATGGGATTCAGGGTGGCCTATCAATTCAGGGTCCCCAGACTGATTGTACAGTCCACACTGAAGTCTGTGCTGCCCTCATTGTTAAAAGTGTGCCTTATTTCTACTCGATTTGTCTAGGTTCAGCTTCCAACCATTGAATCTAGTTATGCCATTAACCGCTAGATTACAGAGCTGTCTACTATCAGCAGTCTCTTCTCTGTGTAGCCTGTGGTCACCTCTTCACCTTCTCTTGGGGAAACTAAATCGACTGAGATTTTAGTCTCCCTGTAAGGCAGGTTTTGGAGATCTGGAATTATTCTTGTGGGTCTTTTTACTGATCCCTTTCCAATTTGTCAACATCCTTTTTGAAGCAAGGACCACAGAACTGGAGACAGTAGCACAGTAAAGGTTTCGCTAATACCACCTCCCTACCCCTACTTGTTACACCCTTGTATGCATTCAAGGATCAGGTTCTCACTCTTAGCTACAGCACTGCCCGGGGAGCTCATGTTCAACATCTGTGCTTGCTTCGGCAAAACATATACTAAAAAATTGAAACGATACAGAGAAGATTAGCATGGCCCCTGCGCAAGGATGACACATAAATTCGTGAAGTGTTCCATATTGAGGGGAGGGATAGCTCAGTGGTTTGAGCATTGGCCTGCTAAACCCAGGGTTGTGAGTTCAATCCTTGAGGAGGCCACTTAGGGATCTGGGGATTACCTACCATGACCCCTAAGTCCTTTTCAGAGTAACTGCTTGTAAATTTAGTCCCCTATTTTTTAACTGTGACCTCAATTCTGTGTTCCTAGATGGAGGAGCCTGCATCTGGCTGAATTATGTTCTGCAAATGAGCCCATCTTAACAAGTGATCCAGGTTGGTCTAGATAACTGACCTGTCCCCATCATTTACCCTGTACCAATTGTGTGTGTCATCTGCAAACTTTACCAGCAGTGATTTCGTATTTTCTTCCAGATAATTGCTAATGATATTGAATAGCATCGGGCTTAGAACAGATCCATGGAGGTACCCCACAAGATGATGATTCTTTGTTTAAAATTAGTTTTTGAGATTTATCAGTTAATCAGTTTTTAATCCATTTCATATGTGCTACATTGATTTTTGTATAGTTTTTTTATTTTTTTTTTTTTTTTTAAATTTCAGACCATATAGAAATAAGGCAAATGCGTACAGAAGCCTAGGCATATTATCATCAACATAATTACCTTTGTCAGCCAAACTTGTAATCCCATCAAAACACAGTATCAAGTTGGTTTGACAAGACTTTTCTTTCCCACATAACACTATGTTGGTTGGCCTTAATTATGCTACCAGCTTTTAATTATTTACCAATTGTTTAGGCTAACTGGTGTATAGTTATCCAAGTCCTCCCATTTACTCTTTTTAAATACTGGCAAAATATTAACTTTTTTCCAGTCCTTTCAAATTTCCCTAATATTCCAAAACTTATTAAAAATCAACATTAATGGTTCAGTGAGCACCTCTGCCAATTCTTTCAGTACTCTTGGGTGAAAGATGGCTGTTCCTGCCAATTTAAAAATGTTTAATATTCAAATAATATCTATGGGTCCTACACATGCCTATCACATCATGTGGTGTACGTCATCCAGTGCACTAAATGCTCCAATAACTATGTGTGTGAAATGAGACAATCACTATATTACTGAATTAATTCACACAGGAAAATGATAAAGACAAAAACACCACTTCACCTGTGGGTGAACACTTTTCACGAAGGGATCACTCCATATCTGACCTCTCAGTCCTCATCCTAAAAGGAAAACTGCACAACACCTTCAAAAGACGAGCATGGGAGCTGAAATTCATAACTTTGCTAGACACTAAAAGTAATGGACTGGATTTATGGCTTATTACACCTCTACCCGGATATAACACAACCCGATATAACACGGTAAAGCAGTCTCTGGGGGGTGGGGCTGTGCACTCCAGTGGATCAAAGCAAGTTTGATATAACGCGGTTTCACCTATAACGCAGTAAGATTTTTTTGGCTCCCGAGGACAGCGTTATATCGAGGTAGAAGTGTACTACAATCTATAACCCACTAACAACCCCCCACAGCTGCCTTCTCCCCCTTCCCCTTAGAAGGTGTTAACAAGGCACTTCACCTTGAATGGTCCCTTGAAATGTGTTGTTTACTTATGCGAAAATCTGTTCCACTTGTATTAAGATGTGACATCCTGAGTACATTTCCCATCCCAGTCCTGAAGAAGAGCTCTGTGTAAGCTCAAAAGCTTGTCTCTCTCACCAACAAAAATTGGTCCACTAAAGATATTATCTCACCCACCTTGTCTCTCCAATATTTAAAACTGACAGGTATTTACAAGGAGTGTTTCAAAAATTCAGTTATGAAAAATGTTTAAGAATGTTATTAAATAAGGATTTTCTAGCCACCTCTTAAAATATTAGAACCAGTTATCTTTGAGGTTCCATGGAACATCACAGCCCCACTTAATCACATCAGCCAGCCTAACTATGTATGAAAAGAGAGAGAAAACAGAAAGGCATGAAGAACCAAAATGGATCCAGTTGTCAATTTATGCATGGCTGGGGCTGAAGTCCCCTAAAGGGGGCAAAGGGGTGCATCTACACAAGGATATTAGTAACAGGGCCCCTTCCCAGGAACAGTGAGTAGCATGTTCTCTCCTTTGAACCTGCAATGGTTGAAGCCCTACAGTTGGGCTCTGTGATGGGGCACCTGCCCCACACTGGGCTCTAAGGGGTTAATAGAGCCCTTGGGAGGCTGCTCAGGAGACATCCAGAGAGGGGCTGTGAGCAGCAGCCAATCAGGGCCGGGGTGGCCCATATAAAAAAAGGGCTGCAGAGCAGAGCAGCTTCAGTCACCCCCTGGAGCTGGAGGAGGGAGGAGGACCAGCTGCCTTGCAGGCTGAAGGCAGCAAGCACCATGGACAGAACAGTGCTGCAGGCAGAGACCCAGGGACCTAAAGGCAGCTCCTGGGGGGCTGCAGGCTGAGGCCAGGGCAAAGAGGGTGCTGGGGCCGCAGGGAATTGGCCCAGGGAGACCTACTGAGGAGTCAGAGGGGAAGCAGCAAGTAGTGGCCATCTACAGGGTTCCTGTGCAGGCCCAGGTCTCTCTCCCCTCTCGCCACTGAGGAAGTGGCCAGACATTGGGTTGCAGTTGCCACTGAGGGAAGTGGCTGGACCTTCGGACTGCAGTACATTCCCCCAGGAATGGGGTGAGCACAGAGTGCAACAAAGCCAGAGGGCTGTGTCATGAAGAGGATGTCACAGTTCTTGGAGGGATGTGGTTCCAGGAACAGAAAAGATGATGGGCAGAGCACCACCAGAGCAAGGCACACTGGCTACCAGAGCTAATTCCCATATTGGGCATGAGGAGGCGTTGGAGTGGACCCCGTTACAGGCTCTCAGAGTTTGTCAGGCTCTTACAGTTATGTTTTACCTCCAACTCATGGTCCCAGCATTGTGGCCACCATGCTTATAAAGATGGACATGAAGCCATGGCTTCCTTAAAAAGAAGCCTACACTCAATGAGATGGAGAGGTAGCAGTTGAGAAATGCATTGCGGGGCACTGACTTTGTCTCTCCTCTAAATGGGTTAAATGCACTATATTTACAGCATTCTGAGCCCTTATCAGCTTGGAGTGGGGGATGAAAAGAACCAGGGAGTGAGAGAAAGAAACAAACTTGGGTCTGGAAATTGAATCCTGTCTCTCTTGCATCCTAGTATCACCACTGAACCAGCCTCAGAAAGGACTATGTTTTTGAGTCAGTTTCACACTGTACATGATGTTTTGCCAAAGATATTCCTTTATAAGTTGTGTGTGTGTGTGTGTGTGTGTGTGTGTGTGTGTGTGTGTGTGTGTGTGTGTGTGTGTGTGTGTGTACGTACACGCACACGTCACTCAAGTCACCTTTGTTTGCTGCCTCAGCTGAAATTCTTCGTTGCTGCCTCAGCTGAAATTCTTCGTGTTTGCTGAGCCAGGAATCCACCAGACAGACAAATTAATAGATTACCAGAAAAGCAAAGCACAAGATTAGCAGAGTCCTGAGAGGTAAAAATTTATTGATTTATATCTGATCAGCATGTTATGATATGGTCACACCTGCTCATACAGCTGACATTCTCATAGCCAAAGAGGGATTTTTTTTCCTTTTAAAAATACACTTTTTTCCAGCAGGAAGGAACTTTTTTTTATTTTTATTTTTTTTAAACCCAAACATTTTCATATTAAGGAGGAATTAAAAACAATGGCTTTTTTCAACACATGAGAACAGGGCTGGTCAGCACTGGATCTCGTAGTGCTTTAAATTCAGTTTTCACGTTTCCCCTCACCCCCTTTTTTCTATACACTTTTTTCACTGATCACAGAAAAACACAACACAGACAAAACCCAGAAGGGAAATGAAGAGGTAGATGCAACTACAACCATTGCACTGTTCTACAGATTGTGCAAGATGCCTCAGTGTATTCCAAAGAGTTCCATTTTTCCATTACCTATTACTGTATACAATATTTGTTAAAATGTTAACTTAAAACTAAAAGTGACACTTAGGGTATGGCTACACTACCCGCCGGATCGGCAGGCAGCAATCAATCCAGCAGGGGTCAATTTATCACGTCTAGTCTAAACACAATAAATCAATCCTTGAGTGCTCTCCCGTCGACTCTTGAGAGGTGCAGGCGGAGTCGACGGGGGAGTGGCAGCAGTCGACTCACCGCGGTGAAGACACCATGATAAGTTGATCTAAGTACATCGACTTCAGCTACGTTATTCACGTAGCAGAAGTTGCATAACTTAGATCGATCCCCCCACCCCAGTGTAGACCAGGCCTATGTAAGTGCTACTGTTAAGAGATATAGTCCAGGGCCATGGAATGTATGGCGCTGTGTATACTGCTTTGCCTAGTTGAAGTTGTTTAAAATGATGTGCTTCACACATCAGAAACATACAAGATGGCAACACTTTCTAGGAAAAAGTTGAATTCCCATCTTTCTAGCCTGAAGGCAGTCCATGGCTTACTTAGGGGCCAGATTCTATATTCTTTACATGCTCTGAACTTCCATCAACTTCAAGGAGGATTTTAGATGTAGAAAGACTGCATAGCCTGGTTCTAGAATCTTTGGGCCTTACTCCAGCAAAGCTTCCAATTAATATAAAGAAAGTTTTGCTGGAGAAAGGACTTGCAGAAGTTGCTTCCTCTCCCCACCTTTTTCTTTTGTTAGTTCCAAAAATTAGCTTCGGACACAGAAAGATGTCTCCAGAAACAGCAACTATCTGTAATTTTAAATTAATTCTGAAATACAGTAACGTATGCACTAACTAAAACCCAAGCTGCACTGTGAGCAGAAACACAATTTTGCTACTTGATGTTTCCATGGTAAACACAGTGGACATTTAATAGAACCTTACCCTCCCACATCAAACAAAAATATCACATCAACGAAGAAGGATTAAAAGCACATGGAATCTTGAAAAAGCAACTTTATTTTGTCACACTTAAACAAAAAGTGTCACCTGTTAGTTTCTGTAAAGAAAAATCTCTTTTGGTACCTATATCTAAATTACTGAAAAATGTCTAGGTTGTTGAAAAGATTTGATAAAAATATCCAAGAAAGAAATAAGTAAAATAAATCCAAGTGTGACCAGCCCTTTGTAAAATCACTTTTAGTAACTAACTACAAATTTTTGCATTCATTCTGACCATACGCAACAAAACGCAGATACACAACAGGGAGAGGGAAAATTCAGAGAGACTAACGTTAACAATATGGCATCAAAAAAACTAAATTTCATTGTACAAAATAAACACCCTTTTGTAGTAAGTTTAGAGGAAATCAACTCACTGTAACACAACAGCTGTTCAATGTGTAATTGTTTTATTACCCAATGGTAAAATAAAAAGTTTAACTGTAAAATGCATAGACTCCTTACTTTTAAAGATTTTTCTCTGTATCACAGCCATGTAGCCTACAGTTGTACACAATAAAAATAAAACAATTCAGAAATGTTAACGTATGCAGACCTTGCAACTCAAGTACAGGTGGTTTTTCTTTTTTAATTTTGCTTTTCCAACTGTTTTAAAAACAATTAAATGTAAAAAT